AAAAAATCACGAATCCAATTGATTCGCTCTACAAATCAAATCACAAATCAATTTGATTTCTTATTTCGGTGACCAAGCAAATCACAAATATATTTTATTTCTTATTTGCCAAGCAAATCACAAATAAAACTTATCTTTTATTTACTTGACCAAGCAAATCACAAATAAAACTTATCTTTTATTTGCTTGACCAAGCAAATCACAACTAAATTGTATTTCTTATTTGGTTGACAAATCAAATTACAAATAAATTTTATTTTTTATTTGGTCAACAAACCAATTCACAAATCAAATATATTTGTTAATTAAAGGCGGATTTTAAATCAAAAAGGATTTGAAATCACGCAACCCTGTTCGCGGGCAAGAAAGTGCCCATGTCTACTCAAGAGGATAAAACTGCGCAAGGCGAATTTATACAAGGTGGTAGCAAGAATACAACAAACAACAACCACATGTATTTTGTATCAGGGGCAAAATGTCAAATCTCAATTCGCCTCAAAGTTTACATGTATTTTGTTGTTGCTATTCAGGGGAATGCTGTCAAATCAGTAAAAGCAAAAACAAAATACATGTGAGGCGAAGGAAAGAAGAAGAAATCAGCTGATTGGACAACACCACCTTGTATAAATTCGCCTTGAAACTGCGTATTTTGTCAAAATGATTATGCCTGATTATGGTAACTTAACTCAATTTAACTGAACGTAGAACTTAGAGAATCAAAATGAACCAGATTTCGACGTGGCATTAAGTTACGTTAAGTTTCGGCTGTTCAATTATAAGCAACACCCATTTAACAGAATTTTTAAGAGAGCCATAAGTTACGTTACGTTGCCATAATCAGACAAAGGCGAATTTATACAAGGTGGTGTTGATGGCGAATTTAGATTTTCGCCGCGGTACTTTTTAATGTCAAAATAGTGTGTTAGTTGTAATATGAATTCGCCTTGTTTGCAACAAACACATCATTTTGACATTAATAAGTACCGCGGCGAAAATCTAAATTCGCCATCAACACCACCTTGTATAAATTCGCCTTGAATCAGACCATAAATCAGTGGCAGATAGATCGTCTTCTTTTTTCTTTTATAAACTCTCTTAATTTGGCCAGTTCAATGCGAATTGGTACGGTTTCCTGACGTACTGATTTTATCAGTACAGTACTGATTTTTCAACTCTTGTACTGATTTAATTAATTTCTTCAATCAGTACGCTAATGTCCTGATTTTTAAAATGTTTTACTGATTTTTACTGAATTATTAATTCAAACAAAATAATTTAGGATTTTCTTAAGGTTTTTACATAACGTTGGAGCTTCCTTAAACTGTACTGTAAAAAGTAAGAAGAAAATAATTTAATTATAGTTGACATGTTTCAGATAATGTTTGATATGCCCAAGAAATTAATACAACAAAAAGATCAATCATTTTACGGGCATATCGCCGGGTCGTTACATGCCAGTTGCGATAATAATATTATGATGCAGCTTAAGTTATTCAAAAAGAAGGCTGACGATTTTTTGTCGTGTGTTGTTAGTTAACTCGAAAATAACTTTCAGCTTAATAACAACAAATTTTCCTATAACTTACAATTATTTTTTCACAATTTACTGACATTGTTAAAGAGTTGTGCATGCGTGACATAGAGTTAGATACACTTTTTAGCGAATTCTCAGTCCTTCAAAGTTTTTGCGTAGTTGAAAAAAATAATTTAAGCCATGAAGAAATATAGATGAAGTCCTTGAATAGTGGTACTTTTCCTCAGTTTGAAAGAAATATGTAATTTAGTTTTCTTTCAATACCACACTCAAACGAAGCAACTGAGAGGATCTTAAGTATATAGCATGATAAAAATATAGTAAGGTAGAACCGCTGAGAGTCACTTTTGAAATTCTTGACGTTTCCAAACAATTTAATTTTTAAATTTACTCACAAACTCACACACACATTTTCATTTTCAATCTCAAGCAACAACAATTTCGAACAATTTCAATTTTTTATTTTTACTTTTATATGATTTTAAAATGTTGGCAAACTTCAAAAAAAAATCATGGCCGACAAATTGAGAGAACGGTTCTACCTTGCTATGTTTTTATCATGGTATAAAGTTTCCTTCCTGGCGAAAAGAGAGAAATCGGCTTCTAATTAAAATTTTTTATTTTTGATATTTTTCTTGAGCTTTGTACCACGATTGTTTATTAGGAAAGATTGAAAAAGCAACAAAGTCTAAGCGATAGAAGTTATAGCAGCTATTTCGGAGATCACCACATCTCCTCATCAGACTTCTTTTTTTTTCTAGATTTCAGCAGGGATCGAACCTGCGTAATCGATGTTCAAAGTCAGAAGCGTTAACCACTGAGCTATGTACATCCCGTAAACTCTTGTTGCTAATTCATAGCTCAGTGGTTAAACGCTTCGGACTTTGAACATCGATTACGCAGGTTCGATCCCTGCTGAAATCTAGAAAAAAAAAGAAGTCTGATGAGGAGATGTGGTGATCTCCGAAATAGTGCTATAACTTCTACCGCTTAGACTTTGTTGCTTTTTCAATTTTTCCTAATAAACAATCGTGGTACAAAGCTCAATAAAAATATTAAAAATAAAATGTTAACAAGCCACAATAACATTGACAAATACATAGTTTAGGAAGAGCCTGCCTGAAACTATACAAAAAAGCAAATAAGCAAATGGATGTATAGAATTGACAACAACAACCACGCTGTCGAGTTTAAATAGCGGCAAATCAGCTGCACTTGATAGTAGTTGGTTGAATAAGGAAAATGAATTAGCAACAAGAGTTTACGGGATGTACATAGCTCAGTGGTTAACGCTTCTGACTTTGAACATCGAATTCGCAGGTTCGATCCCTGCTGAAGTCTAGAAAAAAGAAGTCTGATGAGGAGATGTGGTGATCTCCGAAATAGTGCTATAACTTCTACCGCTTAGACTTTGTTGCTTTTTCAATTTTCCTAATAAAAAATCGTGGTACCAAGCTCAAGAAAAATATTAAAAATAAAAATGTTAATAAGCCACAATAACATTGACAAATACATAGTTTAGGAAGAGCCTGCCTGAAACTATACAAAAAAGCAAATAAGCAAATGGATGTATAGAATTGACAACAACAACCACGCTGTCGAGTTTAAATAGCGGCAAATCAGCTGCACTTGATAGTAGTTGGTTGAATAAGGAAAATGAATTAGCAACAAGAGTTTACGGGATGTACATAGCTCAGTGGTTAACGCTTCTGACTTTGAACATCGAATTCGCAGGTTCGATCCCTGCTGAAGTCCAAAAAAGAAGGCTGATGAGGAGATGTGGTGATCTCCAAAATAGCTGCTATAACTTCTACCGCTTAGACTTTGTTGCTTTTTCAATTTTTCCTAATAAACAATCGTGGTACAAAGCTCAATAAAAATATTAAAAATAAAATGTTAACAAGCCACAATAACATTGACAAATACATAGTTTAGGAAGAGCCTGCCTGAAACTATACAAAAAAGCAAATAAGCAAATGGATGTATAGAATTGACAACAACAACCACGCTGTCGAGTTTAAATAGCGGCAAATCAGCTGCACTTGATAGTAGTTGGTTGAATAAGGAAAAAGAATTTGCAACAAGAGTTTACGGGATGTACATAGCTCAGTGGTTAACGCTTCTGACTTTGAACATCGATTACGCAGGTTCGATCCCTGCTCAAGTCTAGAACAAAAAAGAAGGCTGATGAGGAGATGTGGTGATCTCCAAAATAGCTGCTATAACTTCTACCGCTTAGACTTTGTTGCTTTTTCAATTTTTCCTAATAAACAATCGTGGTACAAAGCTAAAGAAAAATATTAAAAATAAAAATGTTAATAAGCCACAATAACATTGTCAAATTGTTTAAAGTGAACTTCAAATTAAAAGTAATTTTAAAATGAAATTTATAGAATTCTTTGACTATTTAAACACTGAAGATGGATATGATCTCATTATTGCTATTCAAAAATCTCATAAATATAAAATAATTTATTGGCCTCTGTTTACAATGATATCAACACTGATGTTAAAATGAGTAACACTTTTATTTTTTATGAACTATATTCTATTTATATACCAAAATGGTGTTAAAAACAAGTTCTCTGGCACTTTAAAGTAATATCTGTTACTTACATTCATAATTTTGCTTAAATAAAAATGTACTGAAAAGTACTGATTCTTTTAGCAAAAAACAGTCTAACGTACTGATTTTGCGCATAAAAAATCTGGCAACCCTACGAATGGTGTGGCCGTCTTACAGGAACTTTCTTTCAAAAACCTAACCAAAATTTGGGAAGAAGGTTGGACGGTTTCATTACTCTCTCACATAAAGGAGTCACGATTTATATTTTTTCCGAAAAAATGTCTTACGAGAACTTGCTTTCAAAAACCTAACCAAAACTTGGAAAGAAGGTTGTACGGTTTCATTACCTTTACACATAAAGGAGTCACGATTTAGATTTTTTCCGAAAACATTTCTTATGAGTAATTCTGGATTTTTGGATAGCGTATACGCCACTATTGCCTTTGCTGAAAAAATGTACATATATATGTTTTTTGTAGTGTGTAGTTTACAGAGGACAGGTGTTGCCTCAATTCCATTATTTCCTTAACTATCTGCTAATGGGACATCTTATTAGATTTAAAACAAATTAAAAGGAATTCGAAGACTGTGCAATATATTGTATTACGTTTGAGTGATATTTTCTGCCGCGGTGTTTTGTGTAGCTGCTAGTGACGCAGTTTCCCAACTAAAATTGAAAAAAGTAGAGTTTCGAAAAACTAAGCTTTTTTAATTCTTATCAAAGAGTTAGCTGAATACCAATATAGAAAAATTTTATGTTTCTGTGCGTTTGCTTTTCCTGACTGGTGCACTGCATTATAAAAAGGCGCCAAATTCAATACTCGCTCAGAGAGGTCGGATGCCCGGCCCTATCTATAGGTCTATAGAAACTATTAGTGTTGCGTCTTAGTATCTACTTACCATAGAACCAAGTAATGCCGATAACTTCAAAAACTGAGAGAGAGAATACAATAAAAGTTCCAGCAAAATAGTCCACAAGATTTAAAATCCATTGTCCACCCTGTTATGAAAAAATATCAATGAATATGTTATGAATACTACATATACATATTCGTATGCATGTATGTATGTAAAACAGGCGTTGAACTAGAACTCACCGGGGTCACATACGTTATGCCGACGCCAAATCCTATTATTGTTACAGCCAACGAAACCAACCAGAATTTTTTCAACTTAAACTGATCGCAAAGAATTGTAACGACTGTACTTTGCAGTGCTGCTAAGGTTCCGATTCCCAGGACAAAGAGCATGAAAAAGAATAACACCGAAAAGAGCTTTTCGGTTGTAATAGAGTCTGGTTTAGTGTTATTTTTTTAAATGCTTTTTGAATAATGATTTGTTAAATTATTCCGGCAGCAACGCAAATAATGCACTAAAGTCCAATTTGATCACTGACACAGGGCAAATTTCTGATCAAAATTACTTGGCATTTAAGTTATGTAATTGTGAATTCGTATTCGAAATCAGGGTTGGATTTTTCATATTTGAATAGCCGACATTGGTCATTTAAATACAGTTTAAATATTTAAACTAAAAATGAAGATTTTCTAGTCAGCTCTTAAATTGCTCATCTGAAATTGGCCCTTAGCCAGTGTCATAGTTAGGAGTGGGAGAAGTGATAGATCGTCATTACATTGTGCTTTCTACATTTCCATTAAATGAATAATAACATTTTACGCATTTATATATTTTTTTACTACATTCTTTTATCAGCTGCAAAAACTTGTCAAATTTCCATTGTAAATTTTCTTCGAGTGAACGTATGCATGGCAACTAAACTATCAGGCCGATTCTGAACAGAACTCCCTGGGAGTTTTCTCTCTTTTCCCTTTCTTCTATCATGAATAAAACTTCCCTGAGGATTTTTTATATTAAATGGCGGAGTTGAGCTGTCAAAAGAGTGTCAAACAGCTTTTTCGAAGTTCGAATTTCCTCCTCCCAAATTTTCGGTGAAAATGCTACTCCCTGGGAGTTAATTATTGGAGGATTTCTTTCTCGGGAGAAACGAATTCCCGGAGAACAAACTCCCCGGGAGTATTAAGAATGGGGCTGTATTTGTATTTAGGGAATTCACAAGGTCACAGCAATCATATTCTCATATAGTCATCAATTTTAAAACGTTTAAGTTTTGTCGTGCTCCGATTCACTTAAAAAATGACCTTAAAAAATTCATGACATCATAACAATATGACTAGTTGTGATACCTTATGAACCCCAATTGTTTACATTTCCTGAACTCACAAATGTTTCTTTATTTTATTTTTTAAGCCACATTTTACGCATTACATTAAATTTTATTATTTGAATTTTGGGCATTGTTTATTGATAAATTTTAACAAAAATCTTTTAATGCGTGAATTAAAAACGTATGACATTTAACTTTTTAAAAGAAGTAACTTTTGCTCAAACATCAAAGCCCTGGCTTGCAGTGTAAAAATTGCAGCGAAATTGGTCACCGCATTAAGTGCTCTTTCAAAAACTTAAGAGGTTTTTCGATTGCAGAAACAAATTTTAAAATTTGTTGGACTGTGTACCTAAAAAATCATATACACCCAGAAAAAGGTTTATTTATAATAACCAAGATTTGGTTATAGTGATCAAGTGGCATAGTTGGATATGGCGAAACAAATATATAGTTCACGAAAGTCTGCAATTTACTTAGGACTTCTAGTTGGGACAAATGTATATTTGTTAATAATTACAAAACGACTGCCTTGATTGGACAATATCGTTAGTTGAATAAAATCATTGTTGAGCAAATATAAACAATGCTTTGGTTGATACAAGTTGTCAATTAATTTTGTGAACTTGCTGTAGACTTGAATCAGCTAACCGTTTATTATTGGAAAAAAAGTTTCAGTTTGGCACAAATAAAAATTTACTCGATGTTTGTTGTGTTGTGTTTGTTGTATTAAGCATAAAAAATACGTACATATTTACATAAGTTAGTTACTAAAGTAAATAATACATATGTATGTGGTGGTAAGAATTTCCTAAAAAACAACGATGAAACAGGAACAGTCGGCGAAAGCCCAGGTCAATATCTGCTGGAAGTATACAGCTTTGCTTTTTCCTTGCCTAAATAAACACCTTCAAATTATAATTCACATGAATTATATATCCACTGAAAACCCCCGGTTGGCATCAAACTTTATATTTTTAAATAACTATGTGCGCACCGAAACAACTCGCGGTGATAGAAAAACTGAGACAAACAATTCTGTGTATGTCATAGCACACACTTTTCTTTCTCTACCTAGCGCAGCGATCGACATTCCTTAAAACCTGTTACTAGACATGTTTAGAATCGAGTCAACCCCTTAGTTGGACACATATTTCTACACATTTCGAAATTAGGACTTCCTGCCACTCTCAGATACTGTGCGGCGTTGCCGTCGATTCTTTTTAAAGCTCTAGTACTATGTATGTACACTGAGAAAAAGGATTAGTTTCGACAACTAAAGATATTTAGTTCCCGAATTTTGACAATATTTGGGAACTGTTACCAAGGATTGGGAACTATTACCATGGGTTGGTAATTATAACTAAATCTAATCTTCATCTACATAGGTTGTAACAAATCGTTAATTTAGTTGAAGGGTTTGGTTAATACTAATAAATATTTCTTTGAAGCATATTTCTACAAATTCCATTCAACTTAACGTATGGTTCATAAAAGGATATTATTAAGCTCTGCTAATGCAGATAAGCTTTCTTTCAACACATGGTTTAGTCATAGTTACCAAATCTTAGTTGAGGCAACCACGATTTGGTTTGAGAGTGGAACATATTCGTGCTTGTGAGCCACCCCTAAAGAATGCTGTGCGCGCTCTGAGCAAATGTGTGTTTCACATCCGAAGAGCGCCAGCTGAGCAATGCACACAGTCCCACTTATTGAATCGTTTGAATGTGCTAGTATGCCGACCCATGATACAATAATTTTTAGAAGGTAGTTTCACTTCAAAATTTTTGACATAAACCGTGTCTGTGACAAACACGCAATGTGGCCACTGCTACGATATAGAACTTGGGGATTATCGCTTGTTATTTTAGATATTTTTTAACAGAACATGTAAAGATTTATATGTTTCATAACTGATCACTTAATTTTTAATATAAATATACGTATTTTATATATACATTTTTGCCACTGCTAATCACATGAATAAAAATCATAAAAATGAAAATATAACAGCAATATTTCTTGTTTATAATGGATTAGATCCATCGCACACCACGGACTTTATCGGCCGCCAATTTGGATGTGCTCGCTAGTCTTTCCATTGCACCTCAACCTATTGGTCAGAGCGATTAAGCTGGTGTAATGTGCGCACCTCCATACATCTTCATGTACATATGTCAAGCGTGCCCTATCATTTAAATAGGCGGCCGATAAAGTCTGTGGTGTGCGCTGGCTCTTATAGCTGTGTCCTTACATCTATTCCGTGTGTTGCAATATCCACGAAAGCAGCAGTTAATTT